GCAGCTGAGCTGTCATGCTTTTAAATAACCACTGGTCTTTGATTAGAGTAATGGGTTTGTAGTTAATCTCCAGAACTGGATCCACCTGTCATGGGACCTGATTACTGTCAGCTTTAGTAATATACAGTCACTACAAAGAAGGTTCTTGTAGCAACAGTTTGTTCGTTGGTTTGTGGTTGGTGTTGGGGTTTTTTTAACTCTTAAAATTGTATCGGCATACATTCCATACTGTGCAATACTGCCAGTTTTGATCGTTGAGAGTAGGACCATGCTCTGTGAACGGTTTTGATGAGTTCAGCAGTTACCATTAACAGGTTGGTGAAATTGGGCTGTGTTTTGCTTATCTCTGTGGGAGGTCTTTATTGGGTCATATATTCTAGTTTGTATTTTAATTTGGGAGTTGCGTGTTTTTCTTTAGCATGCAAATTTAAAACTTTTGGTAATGCGTAATACTTGTACAGCAGAAATGCAGGTGATTTGGCGTTATTCATTACATTTCAAAGTATAATTCAGACATCTACAATAATTTAAAGTTGCTGTTAGTGCTTAAAACAGTAATATAGTAAAAGTGAAAATTTGCTTAAATTATTTAGTACTTGTTCAGATTCTCTAAATTTACACAAATTACTAGATTCTTTCAAGCTATTGTATTTTGTCCTCTATTTGTCCCCTGCTTTAATACTTCCTTAATCCTATGTGAAGAGATTATGGGCAATATGTCATTAACAATATAAAACAAGCTGTTGTTTACAATAGGCTTTCTCTTTTCAGTTTCGTAGCTGACTATTATGATAACTTTACATTTTAGGGTTTCATGCAACTCAGGAAATAATATCATACAAGCTTTATGATGGGAAAGGCCATCTCAGAGGCTTGTGTTAAACACAAAAGCTAGATTGAGCCCTCGCTTTTCCTGAGGTTGGTACAAACCAGGAAACTGAACTGCAATTTTGAAAAAAAAGAGACCACAGAGGAAAAAATTGTACACCTGAGCTGGGTATGTGCGGTGCAAAGTATAAAGTGTGCAAAAGTCTGTTGTAGTGAAATGTGACTGCAGAGCATTTATATTCTAACTCATCGTTGATGATGAGAGAGCTGGAGCACCTCTCCTATGAGGACAGGCTGAGAGAGTTGGGGTTGTTCAGCCTGGAGAAGAGAAGGCTCCAGGGAGATCTAATTGCAGCCTTCCAGTACCTGAAGGGGCCTACAGGAAAGATGGAGAGGGACTGTTTATCAGGGAGTGTAGTGACAGGACAAGGGGTAATGGGTTTAAACTGAATAGATTAGATGTTAGGAAGAAATTCTTTACTGTGAGGGTGGTGAGGCACTGGAACAGGTTGCCCAGAGAAGTTGTGGATGCCCCCTCCCTGGAAGTGTTGAAGGCCAGGTTGGATGGGGCTTTGGGCAACCTGGTCTAGTGGAGGGTGTCCCTGCCCATGGCAGGGGGGTTGGCACGAGGTGGTCTTTAAGGTCCCTTCCAACCCAAACCATTCTGTGATTTTATGCTCTGTAATTCCAGTAAGAGCAAAAGAAGGCCCTGGCCCTGATGTTACAGCAGGCTGATAAACACAAGTACTTAGCAGCCTCGTTTAATTCTAGTATCAGTGACGGTGGCGGTTAGAGTCTGCAGGATCCAGTGCTGTACCTCTTGGTCAGCAAACCTCTGTAACTCTCCATTGTTTCTTACAGATTACTGTGTGACATAGCACTGCCATAAAACTGACTGTTTAGTTGTCTGCAGAAGTCTATCAATTTTTTTTTTAGATACTTCTGTATGAATTCCCTAAAAAGTTGGAGAAGAGCTTAGAGTCAAGTGTGATACCTGCAGTCCTTTTTTTCCACTGGACTTGGTTAGTTTTCAGTTGATGATGTCGCACTGAGTCCCCTTATTTGCCTTTTTTGTTAACTGTAAGTGACCAAGACACCTCTTTCACGAGTCTTCGGTGGAATGGCCTAGCATGCATCAGTGTGGTAGTGAACGTACGCAGTATGTATGATGGTACATAAATATTCTTGTCAGAGTACATAGTTTTCACACCTGATTTGTGCATTTTCATACAGCAGTTTTGACACTTCCATTTGACTGTTGAAGGAATGTGCTGACATTTCTGTACTTTACTTGATTAAGCGTTTTCATACCCTAAAAATTACAGTATATAGTAGAAAAGGAATAAGGCAATAAAATATATTACAGAACAGACAAAATGCACAATTATGTCTGTGATGTGTTACATTACAAAGGACTTCTGGAAGGAAGAAACACTTTATGTGATGCTGTTTCAAGTGCATGTGCCGAAGTAATAGAATTGGACAAAAGGAATAATTGTGAAAGCCTGTGATAAATTTATACTCCAAAAATTACTTGGAAAGCTGATAGGATTTAGGCACCAAAATTAGAGGACTTAGGTCAAAAGTTGAGGTTTGTGATTAGATCTGGGTCTGTTTGTTGCAAATACAAGGGGGTTTATCTTGGTATTTTGGTTCACTTTGTTAGAGAGCAAAAGGTTGGGCATGAAATGTGTGCAAGGTCTCCAAATTTTTAATGTATGTAACTCGAGGAGTTCAGGCTAGGGCTATCTTTGGCGGATATTGCTGAATACCCTTGGAAAACTATGTCTTAAACATCTTATGATGATATTTGTTGAAACAGAGAAACACAGGCACCCAAATCCTGTTACATTTAACTTCATATTATATGTCTCTGTATACCTGTACACAAAATGCATATGTGATTTATCATTGCTGATGCTTTAGATGCAGATGCCGTGTTTTAAAATCACGGAATCACAGAATGGTTTGGGTTGGAAGGGATCTCAAAGATCACCTAGTTCTAACCCCCCTGCCATGGGCAGGGACACCCTCCACTAGACCACGTTGCCCAAAGCCCCATCCAACCTGGCCTTGAACACTTCCAGGGATGGGGCATCCACAGCTTCTCTGGGCAACCTGTTCCAGTGCCTCACCACCTTCACAGTGAAGAATTTCTTCCTAACATCTCATGTAAATCTACCCTCTTTTAGTTTGTCCTATCACTACATGTATTAGAATACTTTCAGAAAGTGTTTGGTTTGGGTTTATAAAAAAACTGACAGTTGATAACTTCCAAGATATAAGTGGTTAGTATGTATCTTAATTTGGCATAAACACTTGGTCATCTGCTTATTACTGGAGTCAACAAATAGTCTTGTTGAAGAAATGGCACTGTTCAAAGTTTTAGACTAGAGTACATGCAGGCTCTTTGGGGAATAAAGTATAAAGCTGAATTCTGAGAAAAAACAATAGATTTAAATATATGAAAGTCCAATTTAGAACCCAGTCATAATTTAAATCATCTATGATGGTTACTTTTTGTTAAATCTGGGGTTTAGCTTTGTTATAGAACGTGCTATTAACCAGCAATCTTATTTTACTGTAGCGGTGGCTTTTTTGGGCAATGGATAAAAACTACTTTATATTTTTCACTGCTAAACTGGTGGTTATCTGGTGCAAAGATTACAAATTGAGATGTCCACTTGGTCACTTGTTACTGGCATCGTGACAGCTGATGTAAGATTCCTCCCTGGTAACAGAAGCAACAGTGAGTAACAAGGTGCAGTCTTCTCCAAGGAAGCAGCATTTCAAGTCATAACAGCTTAGAAACATTGATGCATTGTCCAGGCAGATGTTTCCTTTACACAGCAGGCTAGCCTACTTGAGAATGCTGTGTTCACACTCATAAGAGGCCAATTTTATTTTTTAATTTTGCCAGGTGTGTAAACCTCAGGCCTGAGGCTTGTTGCCAGCTGAATTTGAGTTCCTTAATCTGTTTGAACAGCTTTACCAGCTGGTAGCTAATTCTGGCATAAGGATAAGGACTACAGAGTTGCATGCTGAATTCTGCATCTCCTATAGAGGTAAGCTGACAGTGGGTGTCAGTTGATTTGAACTTTATTTTGCGTTTTCAGACAGCATAGGCAAAAGATAGAGGTGATGCTGGAGTTCAATTAGCAGTCAGTGGTTTGTATTTAAGCGCTTGGGTTACAGTGAATAAATGCTGCAGTGATTGGTTGTTAGTTTTTCCTAGGCCTATGTAAATAAGTGGATGACTATTGTAAGTTTGCGTAAGTGCTTTAACATCAGTTTTTAGGATTGTGTCTAGTAGGCAGCCAGTGCTAAGGTTAGAATCAAGATTTGTGCATAGGACCTACGGAAACAGACCTTCATCTTAAGCGTTATTGTGTATAATGAAAGCTAGGGTTCAGATTCAAGTTTGGATCAGGATTTGAATTAAGGTTTACATATATTCAAAGATGAGGGTGCAATATTGTTTAATGTGAATTCTTTTCCAAATGACAACTCAGATCTGGTCTCCCACACCATTGCACACGAGCTCCATACTTCTATCTGCAGGTCTTGTAAAACCAAACAATAAACTTCACTCTTCAGCCATTACTGTGCATAATCCAAACTGTCACTATACACTAAGAATTCTGTGAACTTCAGAGCAAGATATGCAAGTGCATTTATAACAACTTGATTTACCTGGGTGAAGAATGCAGGGTTTATATCGCTTCTTCACCTCCCTGCCTCACGAACTTTAAGCATAGCGAGTCTGCTCGCACTACCAAGCCAAACCACAGCATTCAGACCCTAGGTTTACCATAGCACCCTGTGCAAAATTTGGGTGGTTCTGTCTGTTTTCCCAAACTTCAGCCCTGCCTTCCTTACAGATTACGAACCTGGTGCTGTCTGCAAATTACAAACAAGGAGTTCCATCAGAGCACACCAGCCTTAACCACGCTTCTCTGGTTCTAGGGAATTATGACAGTAATGTGGACTCTCCGGTCCCTGATCTCTCCCTAACCCTAATCCTAGACTAGATGCTTTCTGTGGTTTGAAGGGTTTAAAGGAACTAGTTACAGTGAAGTGTTCTATCTGTACAGATCTGGGGGATTGTTATTGTTAGGTACAAATAGTAGAGTGTCTCTTTCCTAAAATAGTGTAAAATTACGTTGGTTTTTTTTTTTTTTTTAAGGATCTGTGTGAGAATGACCGTGTTCTTCTGTCTCTTAAACTTTGTATCTGCATCTCAAAGTAGCTGTAATTTGGAGGAGACTAGTGAATATCCTGCTGAGTTATGAGAAGACATTCACCACCGTAAAACAGTCTGGAAGAAGATTTCTCTAAGAAAATCAAAGAGCATAGAATCCTTTAATAAAACAGAAGACATTTAGAATTTCATAAGCTTTTGGCTCTCCAGGTCTTAAAAAAAAAAAAAGAAAAAATGAATCGTTACACAATCATCAAACAACTAGGTGATGGCACCTATGGCAGTGTGTTGATGGGGAAGAGCAATGAGTCAGGAGAACTTGTGGCTATCAAAAGGTATGTACATCTAAATTCAGTACAGGTACTTACAAAATCTTAAAGATCTTTGCTTTTCAATTTATTGCTGTCTGCCATCTGTGTAGAAAAGAATGTCCTTTTTCTTTTTAAGGTAATTAACATAATTATTTTTTTAAATTAAGATGCTTAACAAGGTGGATCAAACTTCCAGCTAGCAGATCAATAGTGAGACGCATCAGTTTGCATATGTTGCTGATTTACCTTGGCTTGTAAAAATGCATGGTGCTTTTCTTCAGTTAGAACATACTTCCTTCTAAAATATTGTTAAGCTAACACCAAAGGAAAAGCAAAACTAACTGTGCAGTTGGTTAATTAGGGAATTTATTTATATGAATGGTAAGAATACCCATCTTAATGGGTAGATTTGAAACACCTTCCTGCCCTCTCAAATCTTTTTAGGAACTGTATTAAGTTTCAGATATTGCCACAATGATAAATACCAGGTAACAATCTGATCAGGTAAATAAAAGCTGTCTCCTTGGATCTAATAAAGTTGGGTTGTATGTAATCATCAGCATTGTCATACTTGCCTAAAAAGATTGTTAAAAACAACAAAAAATATACTAGAGGAGTGGGGAAGTTCCCCTTGTATTCCTACGGAGTTGCAAGCAGAATGTAAAGTGTTAAGCTGAAATACCAAAAATTGTATGTCGTTGAGATTTTTTTTCCCCTCCATTTATGGATTTACTGCAGAAAGATAATTGTAATATAATTGACTTTTGTCTTAAGAATTTCTGAGATTTTCAGATTTTTTCCTATACTGCTAGTACTGTTACCTAAGTTAATAATGTTAATCTAAAATTTTTAAAAAATCTGCAATTGATTATTTTCATTATTTTGGGGCAAAAGGAACAACACTTTGTGGGAAGTGTTTTTCTTCCTCATGATTTCAGGATTTGAAATCCTTTTGTGTGATTTTTAAGCTTGGGATTTGGGGGGGGGACGGGGGGACAGTTTTAGTTGAAGATGCATTTATTTTAAATGAAAATCTTGGGTTTAAATCTCTTAGCCCTAGGTACTAGAACTTTACAGAAAAACAGCAAATAAAATGACATTCGCAACCCTGTCCCATGATCTGAGCAACACCAAATATCCATGTTTTTATCTATGCAAGACTTATAAATAAAACAGTTATAGATAACAATTAGTTTAGAGACTATTGTATATATGTATGAGTATTGCTTGAAAAAAAATGAAACCATTTTTATTTGGTATTTAATACCTTTGAAGAGGTTTGTAAAAATGACTGATCAAGTCAGATGCTTAATTATAATGTCAAGATACTTTGCAGATTTCAAAAAATATAATTTTCTTGTTTTCCTAGACTATGTAACTTAGGCACAAAGAGGTGATTTTTCTGGTTTGAAATATCGATGTTTTATGTGCAGTGGAACTGTTGCTTTCCTTGTTATTAAGAGCACAATTCAAATTATACAAGGAGATTTTGTGTCCCTGATGTTTTTATAAATACCTTGGAGTATCATGGTCTCTCTGGCTAGCTACCCCTGTAAAAATATGTTTGCAGTGATTAATCATCAAGCACTTAAATTTTAAGCAATTCTAAGAGTTGGGTTTGTTTTTAATTATGTTGCTGTATTCTAGAATGTTTTAAATTGAGTTCAAAATACAGCTAATGCTACACTTGGAAAATAACATGTTTAGATTCTTTGTTCTAAAAGCATTCTGTACTGTTCACTGAAAATACTTTATCTCGGAATTGTATTTCAGAATGAAAAGAAAGTTCTATTCATGGGATGAATGTATGAATTTGAGAGAAGTCAAGGTAAAGTGGTGAACATACCACATTTAAAAATAAGTGTCTGGTTAGGTTTGCATGAAGGAAAAGGACATCTACAGTGTCCAAGCATAAGACTAAACCCTGTGAACTCTTCAAATGGGGGTGACAGATTCCACAAAACCATGGGCTGCCGGCACTCCTACAGCTCCTGCTGCTTTATGGAATATCCCACTGTTCTCAAGCAGCGGCCATGTCTCCTAGCCAAGCCTCTTGTCTTTGAGAGAAGATAAAGAAATTGATTTATGGATTTAAGCTGAAGGAGGGTCGATTTAGATTAGATGTTAGAAGGAAATTCTTTACTGTTAGAGCGGCGAGGCACTGGAACAGGTTGCCCAGAGAGGTTGTGGATGGCCCCTCCCTGGAAGTGTTTAAGACCAGGTTGGATGAGGCTTTGGGCAATGTGGTCTAGTGGAGGGTGTCCCTGCCCGCAGCAGGGGGGTTGGAACTAGATGATCTTTAAGATCCCTTCCAACCCAAACCATTCTATGATTCTATGATTTTGTGTGTGTGTGTTTGCGTTTTACCATCCTGCTCTTTCATTTTACTGGCAGATTTGTAGGTGTATATCCAGTCCTTATATCTTGTATTTGGGGCATTTGTAGAAAGCACTGGGAGTTTTGGTTAGCCAAACGATAGAATAACACTCGAAAACCTGAGTTTAAATTCCAAGTCATCCGATGTTTTGGGCATCTGATTTTCTGTGTATACAACACTCTCTAACAATGGAGTTGGGTATCCATAATTTAGGCCTAACTTATTGGAGGTTGCGCATAATCAATATCTCCAAAAAGAACTCCTGTAAGAGAATTCTTGTTCATGAAAATTTCATAACAAAAAATTGATGGGTTTCCTTATTCAGCTTTGTGAGCAAGAGCTGTTACAGCTTCAGAACTTTCATTGTAGGGAATTAGGTTTTTGTGTTAATCTGAAGATTAACAGCTATGATGTAATCCCTAGAAATAGAAGTTTTAAACTACTATTAATATCTTTGCTACTTTTATTTAAAAATTAATTTAAAATGCTATTTTGTTGCTGTCTGAAATGGAGATTACAAGATAAATACAGACTATCAGATGGACATGTTTTGTAAATTCCCTGCTAGAAACTCTTACGTGTTAAAAATTTAGCTCTGCTAAGGAATCCAAGTCACTGTCGAGTTATCTGAAGCTGTGTTTTGCTCTATTACAGTCTCTGAAGAAGCTAAATCATGCCAATGTAATAAAACTGAAAGAAGTCATACGAGAAAATGACCACCTTTACTTTGTATTTGAATACATGAAGGAAAATCTCTATCAGTTAATGAAGGACAGGTATGTCTCTTACAGAACAAAGAGCGTGCTGTCATGCTTTATTTAACAATTCTTATGCTATCTTGAAAAACACATTGGAATTTCTGTTTTAGGCTCTTGCAGCCCCACTGATGTGAACAGGAGTTGCTGCACCTGCTTATCTGAGGGTAGAATTCTGCGTTGCTCTGCATTACAATATTGTGTATTGTAATGCTTTTGGAAATAACAGTTTGCTCAGTTGTTAACATGGTAGTTTGCATGTCTTTGGTATGTAGAGCCACGAGAGAAATTCCAAATACTTTTTTTTTCTTTATTAGCCTTCACTTTAATGTATGAAGGATTGGATAAGCACTGTTCATTCTGCTTTTGCTGTTGGATTTGGCTTAAGGTGTGGATGGTCATCTGCACGTATATGCATGCATGCTGATAAGACCGACGTATATATGGACTGTGCGATGTTGCAGTCTTGGACAAACAGTACATAGCAAGGTTTGCAAGGTGGACTTTGGAATAGGACCTGCCTTTTCAATAACGTTTTTCTATGCTGAATTCTTTTGCCTTTAATGTGTGTTTCCTTCTGACATTGTCATGCACCTTGATCTCCTAATGTGCAAACCTCTTAGGTTTGCATCCTGAGATAGCTGCTAGTGGTATTAGCACAATGTTACCCTACAGCTGAGAAGCATTGCTCTCAATCGGGGTTCCCTGGAGGGTACCACTGAGTTACACACCTACCACACTGCTACGCTGTGCGCTCTCTTCCTTGCTTCGTTACTGTGTGTTCCATGTTCATCTCGTCAAGCACGCTGCTGGCCAAGCAGCTTCTACAGAGAGATAGGATCATGAACCTCTCTGCGGAGAAGTCCCTCTGCAGCACTCAGAATGAAATTAAGGCCTGGCAGCAAGTGATTTTTGAGATGAGCTAGCTGCATCTATCTTACTTTGTGCTCAGGACATGACAGGTCTGTTTTCATCTGTTTATGAAGTGTTGTGCAAAGTGGAGAAATACAAATGTTCTGAAAATACATTATTTTTTTTAATTATGTGAAGTTGTTAATCTGTTTCTTCACAGAAACAAGTTGTTCCCTGAGTCAGTCATCAGAAACATGATGTATCAGATATTACAAGGGCTAGCTTTTATCCATAAACACGGTAGGTTTCATCCTAGAGTTTAACTGTATAGCACTTCTTTAGAAAATAAGATAATACACAGTAATCACATGAATAAAAATATCTAGCAAAGGCTATTAATTATCTCTAAGAAATATTTTTATCTGCTTCAAGTATGGTGCATTTTTAAACCATACCTGAAGTTATACCTTGTTTTTCTATAATCAGGTATTCCTTTTTCTTTTTGAGATCATTGGATATTGTTCATACACTGTTGAGTAATTTTTTCCTCCTTACTTATCAGATGAATAAAAAAACTGAAGAAGCCTGTATGCTGTGCTATACTATGCATTTCTGTTTCCTCAAAAAGATCTATTTAAGGAGCATTGATACTTTACAAATGGCAGTTTCTCCTGTCTTGAGATACTATAACTAATATGATACCCTACATCTAAAAAAAATACTAAAATAACAGGTTCATGAAGAAATTCAAACAGTGTCTTTATCAAATACAACCTGGATTTAAATGTATTGAGATGGGCCTTTTCTAGCAATTACAAGCACAGTCTAAATAAGAGGTGCTTTGTGCTTACAACAACAACAAAAAATTTCACAGCATTTACAAAACTTTTAATTCTCATGTTTAATACCTGTCTGCAAACTGCATTCCGACATACTGGCATTAAGCTCCTTTGCATGTAAAAAAAAAAAAAAAAAAGTAATTTACTGTCTTGCTCAACTTGTTTATTTAGTACTCGTCCTTCTCATCACATTGGTAACCCTAACACTTTCCAAAGACAATAAAGTATTAGCTGAAAATGAAATAAGAAACAGTGTTCCCAGTGATCTCTGCTTGGCTTTCATGTACCCTGGCGAGGCCTGTTGATGAACTTAAATAAATAATTAGTTCTGTTCAGTATTATCAAATACCCAGAAACTGCCATTTCATGTCTTTCTGATCAAGATCACATACTGTTCTCTGATTATTAGCATCCTCTTTTCCTTCCTCATTTCTACATGAAATAAATGAGAAAATTAGAATTTAATGAAAACTTCCATTTCTGAGTTACAATATCAATATTTTGTTTTGACTGTAAGTGTTTGGGAATGATGGGTGTGATAAATGTGAACATTTACATTTCACTGTAATAAGTTCAGCCAATTTCTTAGAGCGGTTGTCAGTTTCTGTATGTAGAAATTGAATGCTTCACTGTAGCAAGTGAATTTCAATCAAATTGATTTATATTATAACAAATTGTGTGTACCAATTAAACAGCAGAATTTATTTGCTTAGCAGCTTAACCACTGTCCAAGTATATAGGTGCTCAAGCCAACAGTAAGCATTAAAGAAGCTTTATGTGCCTACTAATGCTAGCATTCCTGAGCAGAATTTTGATATCTTCTATACGTCTGTGTCTGAAAATTGTTGTCACAATGATAAACAAACTAGTTAAAAATCGTTCAAGGGATTTTATAAATCACGTAAGTGTCAGATGCTCAATTTTCCATTATCCGCAACTGATAAAGCGGTTGTAGTTTTTGCCAAAGATTTCATTCTGAAATTGCGTTGTTATTTGATATTGCCGCAATAGCCAATTGATTTTTCCTTTGTGTGTTAGTGACAGTTTACGTTTGTTAATTTAAGAACACTTGGTGTAATAATCACTGGAGGGCAAATGTGTGTGCTTGTTGGGGAGAGGGTTGCCGTTAATTTATTTTGAATTTGAAAAAGAAAAAAAAAAGCTATATTCTTTCAAAATATCTCAAAGTAAATTTTGGATTACTCTGTTAAAAGGTTGCTGTTTAAGAAGCGATGACACAATAATTTGCGATTCTTTTCTGTCTGATTTTCTATAGGATTTTTTCATAGAGATATGAAACCTGAAAACCTTCTCTGTATTGGACCAGAACTTGTGAAAATAGCAGATTTTGGTTTGGCTAGAGAACTAAGGTCTCAGCCACCTTATACAGATTATGTTTCTACCAGGTGGTAAGTATATTTAACAAGTTAATACATTATCTTAACTAATTACCTTTCTCTTACTATTTTAATTTATCTATTATTTCTTTCTATCCTCGTAGGTACCGTGCTCCTGAAGTTTTGCTAAGATCATCTATTTATAGCTCACCTATTGATATGTGGGCAGTTGGCAGCATAATGGCTGAATTGTACACACTAAGACCTCTTTTCCCAGGCACGAGTGAAGTAGATGAAATCTTCAAAATTTGCCAAGTATTAGGGACCCCAAAGAAGGTAACACTTCTTAAAAAAACTCACACAGTAGTATTTAAAAAAAAAAATTACATAAGATTATTATAAAACTTTGAATGTTATCTCTTTTTCAGAACATACATATAAATTATTGTTTTAGTAAGTTTCCTGCAGACTTAAGGTTTTCTGAACTGTATTTAAGTTTCCTTTAAGGCATGTAATGCTAGTCTTTTGTTGCATATTAGCATTCATTGTATATCGTATTGTTATGAGTAGCCTTGCTCTCCTCTGATGAAAGCCAGATAAAACTGCTTAACACAGTTATTTAAAGCTATGCATATTAGCCAGAAAATCTGAAGTTCCACAGGATTTCGTCTTGCCACAGCGGATGAGTTTTCCTTTCCTAAAAGTGTAATTCTTCTAGGCTGGCACCCAGAATTTGGAGTGTAGAAGATACCATAAATAAGACAAATGATGCTTTGCTTTTTTTTTAAGGAATAAAGGAAACATTTGATCTCAAACACAGATCTCTCATAAAATATTATTAGCAATAAAAAGTCATGGAGGAAAAATGTGCAGTATTTTAGAGAGGAAACAATTATTTTCTGGAAGGGCTAAATACTATTTAAAATTACAAGGAAGGTGTGGGTAGTGCATATAAAAAGATACACAATTATATTTATGTCAGTTAAAAGCAAATAGATATATGAACATGCAAGAAAAGAATAAGTTTACCTTTGAAATTTTGAATAAACTGAAAAAAGACAATATACTTTTTTGAGAATAAGAGATGGCAGATGCATATCAGTACTTTGTGGGAGCAAACAGAACTATGTGAAATAACTGACTGAACACGGAGTCTCTAGATCTGGAAAACCGAAGGGTGGGAGAGAAAAACATCAGTTTCATTGGTGTTCTACTGATATAAAATAAAGCATAATTCTTGTCTAGTAAAGGAGCTGTTATTGATAGAGAAGGAGAAACAGAAAACTTAAAACAGAAATAGATTAACCTTAGCTAGGAACATGCAGAGCTTGAAGTGGTGGAAAAACATCCGAGAGAACATACTCAGAAACAGGTGCAAACTCATGACAGAGAAGAGAGTAAAAGGTCAGAGGTGGAGAGTTACAGATGATATGTTGTGGAAGTGAAAATTGAGTCTAGAGGACTAAATGAAAATTGCTACGATGTGTAAAACAGTGCTAGCTATGACAATTGTGCATCAGAAAGAACGTGTAACAGGAGTGGTATTTTCAGACTTGCGTTTTCAAGCACAGGTGTTAAGTTTCTTAAGCAGCTCACAAATCTAGGATAGTAAGAACAATGTTTTGATGTATGTTAAGAATATCTGTGAAAGAGAGCAATGTACTAGCTTCTGGAACATTTTCAATGTACAGTATAAACAAGTTCTGGAAGTGCAGGGAGATCAGAGAGAGGTTTTCACTGTGTGTAGTAGCAGGGCAGTGCTGAGCTGACTGCTGTGTTTTTTCTCCAACATTCTAAATAGTTGAGCAGAAGCAAATTGTGACTGTTTACACTGTCATTCCTGGATTGCTTGGGAAAGCAGGGAGCATTACCAGCTCAGTCTTACAGAGAAAACTGTAGCCTCTTCTAAAGACCCCAAGGGTTAGAGAGACTGTAAATCAGCCTTCTAGGATCAGGAAACTGTAATTACTGCCTTTGTGCCCCTGTCATCTGCTGGGTAGACTTAGGAATTTTATCTCCTTATGACAATGCTAAGGCCTTCTTCAGGGAGATCACCATGTAAGAAGAGTACTTAAATATTATGATAGGAATTATCACAGCAAATGGTGCATTTGATACAGGTGAATTACTGTTCTGCATTCTGAAAAAACGCAAGCAGTTGTTTTAATAGTCTGGTTTTGCAGATAGTTTTAGAAATAGTGATTTTTTTCAGATATATGTTTTCATTTATGCCATTATCCTGCAATAAGGAATTACAGGAATTATGCCCAGAAGCTATCTTCATTCCAATTTGCCTTTCTTTAAGTCCGTAATACCATACTAATGACATCTGTGAGTCTGGGTTTTTTAAATAGTGATACGCAACTGTTTTGCTTTATTTTATAAAAGAAGTTGCTTTATTTATAAAATGAGGCTTTATTTATAAAGTAAAGCAATAAGTTGCACCATTCAAGTACTAGCAGTGATGGTACACTAGGAGTGTGCCAATTTAATGAAAAAGCTGATCACAATCTGAAAAGGAGAGATTAATAAAATGCATTTTGATTAGTTGAAGGTTGGCAATGGCACTTTAAATAATTCCAAATTCTTTCTTTTTAAAAATTGAAACGTGTATTTAATTTTTGCACATGTACTGTGTTCAGCCTATGCCTGTACTTCACCAGTTCAATACTCAGCCCTTGCTACTCAGTTCTAAATCATTCCTTTAGCGCTATCTCTGGCAGACACAATGTTACCAACTCAAAGGAGGGAGATGCAGCAGAGAAGGAAAGAGTCTACCTCCGTTAATTTAAATGAACAAATTATTCTCTGAGGTGGAATAGAAAGTCACTTGAAGTCTTGAGACTTATTTTAACCAAAGTTGGTTTATAATTATATTTGAGTACTTTAATTACCATAGACTCTGTTAATAGAGCTAAAACTGTAAGTTGATGTACATAATGAGTAATAGCTTTCATGGTATCTTAAGACCAAATTCTATCAAATCAATCCAGTTTACTCCTATAGCAGTGTAACAAGCTTTGTGGATAGAGGAGAAACACTAATATCATACACTGTCTTCAGTAAGGCTTCTGACACCGTCCCTCACAGCATTCTGATCGGCGTATTTATATAAACAAACTGCATGATAAGTGCATACCTGTTTGGAAAGCCTTATTCAGAGAGCAGGCTTTTCTGGTTTGCACTCAAAATGAAAGATAGATTGATGAATAGTACTCTTCAGTGATAGTGCATCTGATGAAATTTTTTAATTGTATAAAAGGCTTTCTAACAGAATAGATTTTTAGAATCATAGAATGGTTTGGGTTGGAAGGGACCTCAAAGATCATCTAGTTCCACCCCCCCTGCTACAGGCAGGGACACCTTCCACTAGACCAGGTTGCCCAAAGCCCCATCCAACCTGGCCTTGAACACTTCCAGGGAGGGGGCACCCACAACAGGGGGCAACTTGTTCCATTGTCTCACCACCCTCACAGTGAAGAATTTCTTCCTACTATCTAATGTAAATCTACCCTTCTTCAGCTTAAGGCCATTACCCCTTGCTATCACTCCATGCCCTTGTAAACAGTCCCCCTCCAGCTTTCTTGTAGGTCCCTTCAGGTACTGGAAGGCTGCTATAAGGTCTCCCTGGAGTCTTCTCTTCTCCAGGCTGAACAACCCTAGCTCTCTCATCCTGTCCTCATAGGAGAGCTGCTTTTACTTAAGTTGGTAGACAGCAGACTGGCAAGGACAGAATATGTTAGAAGACAAGATTAGAATGCAGAGTTTCTTATAAAATTAGAGATGTAGCTTTGAAAAAAAAAATTCTTTAGTAATGTGTAGAGGGCTGTACCTAGCCAGGAATAACCAGCCACATAAACATCTGTGGATAACTATACAGCTGACATGCCTGTAGAAGAGGATGTAGGAGCTACATAGTGCGTTGTATGTCAACAATATTTGTTAAAGCAAAGATAAATACCATACAACTGTGTAGATAAAGGAGTATAGTCCACTGATGTATGAACTAATCTTCCTGTTCTGCTTGTTGTATTATGTTCAGCTGTTAAGTTTTGCCTTTCAGGAGGAAAAATCAGAGTCCAGAGAATAGGGAAAATGTAAAAAGCCTAGACCTAGGAATTCAATTGTTTGGGCTTCTTTACCATACAGAGGAAGACTGGAACAAAGGAGAAATAATACACTTTCTAACGTACAAAAAGGCTGCTCTAAAGAGACAAAAGAAATAGTCCTTTTTGGTATCCATGGATGATAGCATACTCAACAATGGTCTTGTATTGCTTCAAGAGAAAAGTACGTTTTTCTAATCTTGAGGAGGATTAAGCTCTGGAATAGACTGTTTTAGAGCAGTTGTGGAGTACCAGAAACCGGAAGCTTTTTGAGACTAATGCCTGTCAGGAAGGGACAAGGGTATGGCCTGGATGATCTCTTGAGGTCTTTGCTAATCTTATTCTGTATTCAAACAGTGCAATTATCAGGCAACTAAGGACTTCAGGTTTTACTTCTGGCAAGTTAAACATTAAAAAAAAAAAAGTGTTCATCTGGTGGTCATGTTTTTTTCCTGTTGCAGTAGTGTCTAGTTGTAATTTAATCATTGACTATCTTAATCGTGGGATAAGGGGTATATTGCATAGGCTGCATCATGGTTACACAACCATGGAATGCTGGGTGGAAGGGCCTTGCTTCTACTATTCCCATAAAGAAGGTATGTTGAAGTCAGCTGTTTGATGTCATTTCTGTGACAGATGGGATGTTCAGTACTGCTGCACTCTTCCCTCCTTCAGATAGAATATGTCCAAGCGTGGTATCCACAATGATGGTTCCACCCTTACCTACAGGAGAGCTTGAGAAGGACTGCTATTGGAGACTGATGCTGTGTTCACTGGTGGTATAATAGTTGTAACAGAAAATAGGAATGCCTGTTTTCCACTGTATAGGAAGGAGCTATGCAGACCAAGCATGACTTAAGCTACATAAGATATATAGTCTTTGTTCTTTTTTTGTGCTCATTTTTTCTTTTCATTGAAACAGAGTGACTGGCCAGAAGGATACCACCTTGCTTCTGCCATGAATTTCCGTTTCCCACAATGTGTCCCTATAAGCCTAAAAACTCTCATCCCAAATGCAAGCAACGAAGCAATACAGCTTATGAGTGATATGCTGAACTGGAATCCAAAGAAGAGACCTACAGCAAGTCAGGTCTGAGCACCTGAATGATTAAGTATATGACTGAATTTTCTTGCATTGTTAAAAAATTGTAGATATAGAAACCTATTGCTTGTCCTAACACTGGTAGCCAGAGAAAAGTCTTCTCATTTTTGAACACTGTGGTGAGAATTAGACTGAGTAGTGAGGAGAGAAAGTTCTATCAGACATCATAACACTTTGTCTATACAAGACACAAAAACATCTGAGCTGCAGGTTTCCTGAATTGTAACTATAAGTCACCTGGGTCTTCATTTTTCCTCCCCCATCTGTATGAAGGGGGATATTGAAAATTAAGCTTTGCTTTTTCTGAAGCTGCAGATGAAATGCAGTGTGGAAGAACTAAGGATTATTTTTACCTGAAGGTGGGATGTAAACTGTGCTAAGCAATAAGGAAAGAACTCTGTGAAGAACATACCAATAGGTCACAAGGTCTCCATTTTTCTCCAAGTTAATTTTAAAACATGAAGTATGTATATTTTAAGTACCAAAGATGGTTACATTCTATTGATTTTTGAGTATTCATACCTAATACAATCCTATTTAGAAGGTATAAAAGGGGAATACAATTGGGAAACAAAAAGGACACATTGCACGTTATCCTAGGTGAATGTAATGTAAGTGATCCAGGAGTGGTTAAGCAGATGGTGCAAAGTAGATCAACTATTTCTCTCCACTTTATAAAGCATATCTATGTTAAAGTCACTGAGATCTAACTGTAGTCTGGTGCTATATACCTCTACACAGAATGCTGCACAATCCTTTATGAAAGCAAATAACCAGCTTTTGCCCAAGTGAGTTGTCAAGGAAGCAGCTGCAGCAGTTGTCTAATCCACAGCCAAAAGGGAGACTTTAATGCATATACGTGGAAATGCGTACAAAGGCAGCAATTCTCAAGTGCAGCTGAGGCAAAACATCTCTTTGAGAACTAACAAAGAGTAGGATCCTACCCAGAAGGAGTAGCAGAGTGTGTTGTTTTGACACAGGAGCTGTATCAGTAAGGTATCTCCCTGCTGTGCATCTAGTGGTGGACATGAAAAGGTCAGAGAAAAAGAATAAAATGCATATCTGCCTGAAGCCAGATGCTGTAGTTTCCTAATAAATACCATGAAAGTACAGCAACCACAGTGAATGTACTTCAAAGCAAAACAGACCCAGGAAAAACCGATGATAAGAAAATGCAGGAGAAACTTTGCTCATTAACATCCCCTAATGGTAAATCCTATACATTAATATTAAATGGTAATGGGGTTGTGGTGGTGCATAATAGTGTGTGTGTGTGTGTGGGGGGGGGGGGGGGGGGTGTTAATTAAAAAAAAAAAAAAAGCCAAAACATAGTTAGCAGTGGAAACATGTAATAAAGCATGTGGTAAAGGCAGTGGAAACTACCTGTTCTAAGATTGGAATTTGTTATTGCATGAATATAGAATGGTACTGAATGTAAAATGTACCTTAAAACACAGACTCCACAAAACCTAGAAGTAAAGGATGGAAAGAAAGGACGTGACTGCTGTAACTGTACAAGTGGATCCATCTTACTAAAATATGATGGGAAGAGTTTAAAGTACGGAACTGACAATTAGCAATACCTGCTGTTTACATATGATCTTATTATGCCTCCATCTTCTATCTGTGCTGTAGAGCTCCCTCAAGTTCTTTAGAAATCTGCTTAGATCCTTGATGAGGTTACCAAAGTCAACATTTTGAAGTAAAATATTATATTATATCTTCTTCTCAGGCTTTGAAGTACCCTTACTTTCAAGTTGGCCAAGTTTTAGGACCTCCTCCGCAGTTTCTGGAGAAGCAGACTCCTATTAAAGCAGTTCAGCCAACAGAGCCAAAGCCAGCTTTACCTAAACTGGAAACTTTATCCAAGCCAGAACCTCTGTCTTCACCTGATGTACCCAACAAAACACAGCCGCAGCCCCTGTCAAAGGTTAACCACCAGCCTCTCCAGCAAATTCAGTTGCCTCAGAATACAGCTAACCAGCAAGTACAAAACCAGCAGCAGCCACAGGCACAACCATTTTTTCCAACTATCAATAAAAACTCATCACCAGTAAGTTGTCTTCAATAAATGCTTAGGTGGTTCTTTTACAAGTTCTTACTACATTCAGCCAGGTGATCCCTTGAAAGTTATCATACTGTTTATTAGAGGAAATGCAGATAGATAATTAGGGACTAATTAAGGATATAACTAGCCACTTATTAAAATTTTACAGCAAATCAGAAGAATAGATTGCTTGTAACAACAATGTATGTTCATTTATAACAGCCCCTACTGGCATGCTTATGCAGTAATGTAGTTAAGGAAGCTATTGTTTATTGACTTTTGAGAAACAATTCACAAAAATTTTGTTAGTATGCAACAGAGAAGTGGAAAGGGAGAACTTCATTTGCCTCAAGCAGTTCGTCGAATTCCTAAGCTGGTAAGAATTTAACAAGGAAGATTTTTAGCAAGATGAATATTAAACTTTAGTTTGCAATCTTTATTTGGTTTTCCACTTACACTTGCTGAACTCCAATATAAAGTATGATAAAAATAATAGGTATTCAGAATACTGGAAAACAAACTATAGTCCAATGAAAGGACAGTTTTAATACCTAATAATTTATTTGGAAGACAATGTTAAGGAAAGGCCTGACTAACTTCTTTTATTTCCTGTATTTACTTTGGGGACACAGCAATTGGTACTCCTAAACCCTGAGCACCACTGTGCCCTACTTCTTGCCAGTTTATCTACCATTGTCGAGAGAGCATGAGTTCAGCACAATACCAGTAGTAGAGGCTGACCATTGAACTGGATCTGCAAATAGAATGTCAGCTTCACTACTTCAGATAATTTGAGCAATTTGACGGTCCAAAAGAGCTACACTCAAAATATCTGCCAACATTATCGTTATGCTTTGTGCTTAAAATCATTCTAAGACTATGACCAAAATACATACAACACAATGGGAAAAATTCCCCTCAAATTTCTTAAGGGGTAGTGAGGAGGTGAACTAGATACAAAATATAAAATTTTAGAATTGAATGGTTTGGGTTTTTTTTTTTCCCCTTTTTAATATAGAAACAAGCAGCTAGTGGCCCTCAAAATGGTGCAGTGGGTCCTAAAAGCTGCAGAAGACGATGGGGTCAGACTTTGGTAAAGGCTGTGGATAGCTGGGATGACTTGGATGACACTGAATTTGGAATGTCATGTTCAAAGAAGCCTAGTATTGCACTGTTAAAAGAAAAGAAAAACAAGGAATGCCTTTTTAGGTAAGTCCTATAATTACAAAATTACAATTTGGGGTTTTTTTATTAAAGAGTGTCCAGTAGATTTGTAGATTGATTAAGACAATTTGCTAAAAATTAAGTCACCAAAATTCTGCAAGAATACAAAGAGCTGTATGAGCAGACCAGCTTTGGGTGTGGTGTTGATACAGTACCAGTAATATCCAAACTGAATCAAATTTGTTTTCAGCCACTGTGTGGTTTAGGTGTTCGTTGTGTTATTTAAAAACTGTGTGTTTTACTAAAATCAGATACATTAACTTCATTTCCTATGTCAGCTAAATTAGGTACTAAGTTCTGCCAAAGTTACCCACATTTGCTTTTACTATTTTTCTTCAAAGTCCCTGGTCAAACTTTGATGAAGTATGAGATTTGGCTGTTACTTTGTGGGAATAAATTCTACTGCTGAAAGTAGGATAAGAGAAGAGCACTGCACTCTTCAGGCTAGGGTCAGCTAGTGGTATTCCAAGCTGGAGCTGTTGGTCACATTGTTTGAACATTCTGATTTTTTCAGTGTGCCAGAACCAAAAGCTGCATGCTGTATCCAGCCAGGAGGGGAAAATAAGGTTCTGATGAGAAATGATTCTGGAAGATCAAATACATCAGCAAAACAGTACTACCTAAGGCAATCAAGATACCTACCTGGTAAGGGTAAAAGTCAACACATATGGAAAATACAAGCTGTGAACAATTTACATACAGTACACTTGAACTTTAGATCTCTCATAATTTTGCTTTTCATAACCAGGCTAAACTTTCAAGTTTTGGACTAAATGCCTTTCCCAGAACATATATCATCAAAATTGATACAGAAGTTCCTGGCTACGTAAATGTGGAAGAAAGCTCAACACTGCTTGTACACCATAAAAGTTCACAGGCCCTCTTATGGCCAGTAACATATAAAACCCTCAGTAATATAAATCCAATATAAAGCTTCCCTATCTAAAGATAACACAAATGGAAAGCCCATCTGTGTTTCTTATCTTTTTTTAAGCATCCTTCTAATGTCTCTTTGGTTTTAGTAGAGTTTTCAATGAGAAAAGCATAGATGTAAAAAATAATTAATTTCAGCACTTAAGAGAATAATAGCTCCAAGGAGCATATTTATCCATATTACTTCTGTTACCACTAGATCTGGGAGCTGTTTTCATGCAGTGTAATCCCATTAACTCTTGTAATGCTCATAACATGCTAAACTAACAAGAACCTCTTTGTCCTACTTTTTAACTTATCCCTTGAAGTAGTAGTTTATTTTCAGCCTTGAGAACCCTAGTTTTTGATAGGTATATTTAATTTGTGTTAATTGTTTGAGAGTCAAAGATATAAATAGTAAGAGTATGATTTTATGGAAACCAAGTAACCGTACTAAAAAAGCTTTTAAAAGTTTTCTTGAAAGCATGAGAATTTTTCTTAAATCAGTGTCTCTAGTTTTCATGGTTTGGTTGAAAAATCTAACCTAATCAATGGACATTGTTCTTTTACATTAATGATGTTTACAATGTATCACAAATAATTCAATGTTGTTTTACTGTTCTAGAAATGTCCATTTTTTATTGGCTGAATTATGTTTGAAAATTGGTGTTTATAACATTTTCCATAATTTGTTTTCTAAGGTGTAAACCCTAAGAGTGTCTCTTTAGTAGCAGTCAATAAAGAAGGATCACATGGAACCTGGAACAACCAGTTGTTTTCTAAACCGCTGGCACATACTGGAGGAGTGACTTTTAACAGAAATACTACAGGTAAAAGTGTAATTAATTAAAAGTGGTCACATGATATCTCATCAAACTTTAATTAATTTAGTTAAGACTATCTGGTTTAACTTCTGTTATCAGGCTTAGCTTCTAGGCTAGCAATTTTTTCTTGTTTTAATGACAGACTCTTAAAATAACAGCTTCTTCATATGTAAACTATGTATTTTGCTTTCAGATCATAAAGTATAGACCAGCCCCTATTATAAAGTCCTGTCAAGATAAATTTTGTCTATAATCCTCTTAGACCTTTATTTTACGGTGTTAATTTAAACAAGTAGTTTGACCTCATTACTGCCTGGTCAGTGTGTCATGGAACACTTCTCAAACAGCAGGCTCACATATGAAGAAAAGATGGTGGGTGGTATACTCATGTAAGAAAAGTACTGCCTAATATTCTAAACATGTCTTTTAACAACCTACCAGCCTTGTCCTAAATACTTTGCTGCATGAAAAGTCCCCATATTTTCAGCCAGGAACTTGCAGTTAAGGTGCCTTTTGGTACTATGTTTTGTGAAGAACGCTATTATGAGCATTTTATAGAGTGAAGACTAAGACTAGTTAAACGGCTTATCTAAGATTTTACTGAGGAAGGCATCAGACTCAAGACTAAAAATCTATCTTCTGACCATCAAGCCCTATACTTTAAGTACACAGTCCCATCACCCTGTTACAGGAGGTTACCTTGTTAACAACTTTGCAGCCATTGTCCAGCTAGCGTGAGCTATTCCCAAATACCTGAATGGCAATACACCACGTAGCCTTACATCCTTGTGCAGAAAGAACTTTAGAAGATTTGTTTACATGCAGATGCTGCACCCCTTTTTAACAGAACTTTAGTAGCCATTCTGCAGTGTGAACAAACCTCTGAATGTCAGGTGAGCTCTAAGTTGTTCATCTGAAATTATGCAAAAGGTTTTAGGAAGTGGAACAGTAACAGCACCTACCAGAATTTTGATGGAATAGAACGGACTTTTTTAAGCAATCACCGTGTGTACCTTTTTATTTTCCAAAATACAGTATCTGGGTGCCTCAGAATGAATTAATATATTTGTAAAATAGTCTTGGAAGGGAATTCGGTGCAAAAAGGCAAAGAGCTGTTTCCAAAAGTATGCATCAATAAGCAAGACATCTACCTACTGAATTGCACTGAATATAAAATGCTAACGGTAAAAATCCTGCTTTTGTCTTAGTGACTGACTTTAGGTATGTACCAAAAGTTTAAAGAAAAAACCCCCTAAAACTGATTATTTTGTATATTTGAAAATACTTGGTATTATTTGTCAGTATCTTAAATTGCATGTGATGTTTCACATACCGAGCAGGCAACAATATTTAAAACAGACACACATGAAACCAGGATAGCTGGAGCACTGGTCACAGATATAAAACACGTGCAAATTATGTATGTTTTCTTTTTTCATATTGACAAAACTGAAAGTTGATACTGTGCTGTTTACTGTTTAAATAACTACTTTTAATTTAACTGCTTTTTTTTTCTCCTCATCCACAACATTGCCCTATGGTGAAAGAAGTTAAGAGTAAATAGTTACAAATGCTTTATTTATGAAGAATTGTAAGGTTAGGATCAACTTTGCAGATACGCCTGAGTGCTTAAACTTGTGATTTATGTATTTGTGTGACTGGAATGTGATTGCATTGTTGGTAAATCAGATTTTTTACTCCATTATTAGAAAGGACCTTGTAAAGTAACTAGTTAGAGTAGCATTTCCTGCTTGAGAAAACATAGGAATGAGGCACGATACTTACAAACATGTCAGATATTTATTCTTTCTTGCTTTGTTTTCCCTCATTTCTTTTATATCACCTACCCAGGTTCTTCATATGCTTTTTTCTAAAGTTCTGTCTTCCCATCTTTTTCTTCATTTTCCTTGTCTACAGATGAGAACTTAATTATACCTATTGAAAAGCTATCATGCAAAGAAAGGTTGAATGAAAAATTAGAGGATCCAAAAGGTAATTTATAGTAATTTCTTGCTTTGTTTTCCCTCATTTCTTTTATATCACCTACCCAGGTTCTTCATATGCTTTTTTCTAAAGTTCTGTCTTCCCATCTTTTTCTTCATTTTCCTTGTCTACAGATGAGAACTTAATTATACCTATTGAAAAGCTATCATGCAAAGAAAGGTTGAATGAAAAATTAGAGGATCCAAAAGGTAATTTATAGTAATTATAGACAGGTTCTTTGCACATTTCATATTTTATGTTTTACATTTTCTTGTAAAAATCACACTTACAATGCAGATTCCAAATGATCATATACTTCAGTTTCAGTTACAATCTGTTCTGTCAAACCTTGCTCTCTTCATTGGGACTTCTTCTGGACTCTTGACACTTATTTTCCCTGTCTTTTGAAGCACAGTATTTTATTACCCTAATTATAATCCACACCATGTGACTGCACTGTTGCTGGGTAACGGTGAAGAAGCGATCCTAAAGCAGCAGCATACACTGTCTCCTGAAGGACTGCTTGTTCATAGCAGCGCTTGGGACTTGCACCATTGACTGCATTCCGATTCTCTGTTGCACTGATTTTACAGTGCTGTGATTGCATAGATTTTGGTGGTTACCTTAGTGTGAGGGGGTGGAAACTCAGGTTTCCAGGCAGCCTACTGTGCGTCTAAACACGTCCTTTGCTGCGAGCATTGTAAAGCTCCTGGAATGTTTCACCTCTCCCCCACATTCTGGCCCCTCTGGTGTGTACTGCCTGTGTGATACATCTCATTGCAACTATTTGTAGGGTATTTTGAACTCACTACCCAGTTCAAACAATTCAATGACTTTATCCTTTATGAAGAATCAGGCATGTGTTGTTTGAGGTAGGGGATATGGCCTGGGCCACGTTTACACTTGCTGACATCATTGCCGTGAGTGCTTGCCTATATATCTGCTGCCAGACCTCCTGGATGCCTGATGGATGAATAACTTCTATAGCAAGAATTCTTTTGTACAGCAGTGGTCACAGGTAAGGACCTGTGCTTTTCAATAGAGGTTTGGTTTGGGGGTTTTTTTATTTGTAGTTATTCTGTTATTTTATATTGAACTCTTTTTTCCTCCTTCCCTTGTTCTCATCCAACAAAAGATCACCTCTCCAGACCTCTCTATTTCACCCAGACTGTTCCTCCTGGCTGTACTCTTCCGTCTCCTGCAGAAGGGTTCACAAAGGACACTGGACATTGAGAGGTAAGGAGAACCAAAAAATGGTTGAGCAATTTTTGACAGATAGGCAGCTTTGCTGAGCTGTAGATAAGAAGCTGACAGAAGTAGTCTTTGTGAGGTTATGTTAATTGAGGCCTGCCATGTTCTTATTTTCAGACCTCAGAATTTTAAGGAATGCTACTGAGCTGTTAGAGCTATGAACTGCTCCCAGTGAAATAATTAGGAACTGGGGGAATAAGAGGATATGTGTGTGTGTATGTGCGCACAGGCAGATGAACAAACCACTAAAACTGTGGTGTTTTGTTTTTCAGGCAAATTCCTGAAAAGGAAGAATAACTTAAAGACTACAAGAAAGTTAAATTTTAGTAGAATACTTTATTAAAGTTGTATTTTTCACCAAGACTTTCGTGTCATTCTTTACTATGCTGGAGACTGGCATCAACTGGGCACAGGGAAGCCACACAGAGACTCAACTAGAAGACTCATAGAAGTGACAGTTTGGGGACAGTGGCAAAACTGAGTTAGCTGAATGCTTTTTGTTAGTGCTCCTGAACAGGGAGGTATGCAATGACCCAGCACAGCTGTAATTAGCTGAGGATACCCTTTTGGGGTTGTAGATGACTAATTTTGCAGCTTACAGATCCACTGCTCTGAGCTCTGATGTTATCACCGAGGACTGGGAGCATCTGTGTGAAGAGGATCATTTTGGGATTGCACTAAGGCCAGAGATTAAGGAGACCGAAAAACTATCAAATCAGATATTGCGTGTTTTACTGCAAGTACCATTGAAACTATGCTGAATATTAGTATGATAAAAATGTTCACACTGATAAAGGTCAAATTAAAACTACTGTGTATGGCCTCATAGTTCACAAATTTACTTCTACTGAATACCACACACTAGCGAAAAGCATTTCTCTCGGGATGTTGTGCCAACAGTCCTAACACTGTCCCAAGTGATGACAGACACAGAGAAGGTAAGAAATTTTCTTGCAGAGACCCTAAATATTGTTAACAGATCCCTCTGCTATAGGACAATAATTTCAGTACTAATTTTGTGTGTAAATGCATAATGTTTCTCAGCTTCCAAATGAGGATGGTTATGTCAACCTTCCCAAGGTAGCACTGCTTTAAAGAAAGATCTGGACCAAAACTAGGCACAGTAAAATTATAACTGGGGTTAAAGAAAGAGGGTAACTGGGTCTGACTTTTATAGCAGGCCTTTAACTGTGGAACCCACAAAGTCAACTTCAAGTGGTGCACCACTTGCCACAAGAGAAGTTTGGTTCCGTTATTTTAGATAGATTTAGGCTGAACATGTTGAGCACAAGAGTACTGTTGAGTGCTAGTTTTCAAATACTGAAGGGTTTAAACCAGCTTCCAGTAAAGCAAGTAGCTCTAAGTAAAAGGTAAGACCCTACCTTTCTCTAAAACTCAGTGTAAACCTTTCTATGTGATTCAAGTTTAATGAAGGTGCTAATGAAATGTTCATCTTGCTCTGCTG